TCCACCCGCAACCCCCTCCTCACCAGCAGCCCTCCTGGAGGAGAGTCGCCCCCGAGTGTGGCCCACATGGAGTAGCGCAGGCAAGGACATGGCAGCCAGGCAGCGTAGACAAGACTCTGCCCTCACGCCCCATCCCGCACAGTTGATGCTGCGGGGCGCGGGCAGAGGGCGTGGCTGCCATGGCGCTGCTGGGCTGCCTGGGTGATTTGCAGCAGGCCCTGGAGGCAGTGAATGGCCCTGTGGGCAGGCAGGGTGGGGGCGGGGCAGGAAGTGGAGCAGGGGTGGGGCCAGTTTTTGGGCACTCGGTCTCTAAAAGTTTCGCCATCACTAGCTTATCTGATAAGGTTTCTCAAATTATTATTTTTGGCCCAGGCTTAAGCCCTTCTTATCTGACCTTTGCCTTGGTAGCAGTTGTACTTCCTGTCCTTCAAGGCCATTCACTCTGCTCTCTACAAACAGAAAGTGAAAAAGAAAGAATTTCAATAATGTTAGGACTATGAATTGCAGAACTAATGCACGAACAGGTTAGAGTTACCAGTATTTTCTCCAATTACACAACTGGAAGAGGAGGCAACCTCAGTGAACTTTCTTTCCCTGCCCCCTTTTTCTTTCCCTTCCTTTCTTTTCTGTACACAACATTGGTGCATCTGTCTACCAGAAGTATGAGACTCTATCTGGAGAACTATGGGGAAAAGACCATTAATGTCTATTATGGTTTGTTCTGATGATTAGACAGGATAGATTACAGAAAGAAGAGAGTTATGTTGTAATGATAGAGTCCCATTTTCTGTCCTGCCCTCTCTTGGTTTTTTCCTTCCTCAGCTGTATCCTGATGTTTTACTTCTAAGTTGTCCTCAACTGTAGATTAAATTGCCAAATGTCTGGTCCCTGTAATACCCTATTTTCAAGAGCAGAATGTAAATTAGAGTTTTATATTTAAAACAAATTGGGGGGGAGGGGAATCTAGTTTTTTAATATGTGTAACTATGTAATTGCATCTCCTCCCTGCAAATAAATAAATAAAAAAGAATGGCAGAGACCATTTTGGCATTCAATATGAAAAATATAGTTGTTTTTGTAACTATTAACTATTTTCTTATCTCAATGCCTCAAAATTCTGTAAATCTGGGAAGTTCACAGTTGTTGTGAGCCCTGCTGAGTTTTAAATGTTTATTCCTTTAATTTACAAATGCTCATACACCCGTCCCTCAGCCTGTTTGTATGTGTGTGTGTGCAGGCACGTAATACTGTAAAACAAATTTCATTCTCCCGGCGACTCCTAGGAAACAACATGGACACCCCTCACCACTGTCTTCTTTTCAAATGCCTTTTAGGATGTCCTGGTGTTACTCCATCCAAGTTCAAACCACGTTTAATTTTGCTTAGCTTCTAAGCCCTGGGGTCAGGCATATCATAAACATGTTTGTTTTAGAATTCCAGTGTTCTGCTCCTGAGCAGATAGATCTGAACTAGAATCTGAGCAACTTCACAGCAAGTCAGACCGTCTGAGCTCATTATTTCTCTACTAACTTCAATATGCTCTCCAGGTTTCAGACAGATGTTTCAATACTTGAAAATGCTTGAAGTGGAACTTGGGAACATCTGTATATGAATTCTGTGGTCTGCCACTGAACTGCAACCTTTCCTTACATTCACAAGCAAATTTAACTACAGGTAGACCTCAACTTACCACCATTCATTTAGCGAACCAGCTACTTACAACCGTTGCACATCCCCAGCATTAATTTTGGGTTTTACTGATAAGATAGGCTTGTTGTTATAGAAATGTAAAAGTAAAAAGTTAAGGTTTGATGCTATTATCTTAATTCTACTGCACCAAAAGGAGTCAGAAGTCAAAGCCTTTTCTTTCTTTTCTTCCCTTTCCCTACACTTTTCCTTTCCCTTCTCACTCCCTTATTTTCCTACTATTGTCTTCTGTATTTTTGTATTTTATATTATAAATTTTAAAAAAAAACATAGCACATCCCCAAGGTCACGTAATCAAAATTCGGATGCTTGGCAACCAGTTTGCATTAACAACAGTTGTAGCATTCCAGAGTCATGTGATCACCATTTGTAACCTTCCCAACAGCCTTCCAGCAAACAAATAGGAATAGAATAGAATAGAATAGAATAGAATAGAATAGAATAGAATAGAATAGAATAGAATAGAATAGAATAGAATAGAATAGGAAGGGACCTTGAAGGTCTTCTAGTCAAGCCCCCTGCTCGAGCAGGAGAACCTATACCATCTCAGATAAGCAACTGTCCAGCCTCTTCTTAAAGACCTCCAGTGATGGAGTGCCCATGATTTCTGAAGGCAAGCTGTTCCACTGGTTAATTGTCCTCATTGTTGGGAAGTTTCTCCTTAATTCCATGTTACTTCTCTCTTTGGTCAGTTTCCAACCATTGTTTCTTTTCTTGCCATCTGGTGCTTTGGAGAATAATTTGACCCCCTTTTCTTGGTGGCAGTCCCTCAAATACTGGAATACTGCTATCATGTCACCCCTGTTTCTCCTTTTCTTTAGTCTAGCCAGACCCAAATCCCGCAGCCGTCCTTCATATGTTTTTGTCTCCAGGCCTGTGATCATCTTAGTTGCTCTTCTCTGAACTTTTTCCAAAGTCTCAACATCTTTTTTGTAGTATGGTGATCAAAATTGATTGCAGTATTCCAGGTGTCAATAAGTGGAAGCTGAATTTACTTAATGGGTGCATAACAACTGCAGTGATTTGCTTAATAATAACCGTGACTTAACCATCTTGCTAAGCAATGAAAATTCTGGTTCCAATTGTGGTCATAAATCGAGGACTATCTATAAAGCATTATTCTATAGAGGGAGTATGCCAGGGTGTATCAAATGGTATTAAGAGGGATCAGCTCCTTCATTGTATGCCAGAATACAAATATTGAAGACCCAAGTGAGACTCATTCAGAGCCAATACAAAAATGCTTATGTTTTTTTCATTTGTCTTGGAGGCATCAAAGTGCTTATTGTGTTCATTAATGGTAGAAGACTTTTATTTTGTTCTGTTTTTAAAGCACTTTCTCATGTGCAGATTGTTTAAAAGAAACAAACAAGCTTTACTGATACTTCATATTAACTCTGTCTTAGCAAATGTGTTTTACTGCATTGGCACGTTTGATTACTTCCCATCATTGACAAGCGTGTCACTTAATTTAAAAGGCGGAAAGGAAATGTACTGAATTTACAAACGAGTTCCTGGAACTGTTTTTTTATCAGAACATATTTTCAAACACACCAAATAATATGCAGCTTCATTCACTGCTGCCTTGCAACTCAAGGAAGTCATTTGCACCAGGAGAAATGAATATAAAATGAATAAATAATGTTTCCTTCCTAACACAGCGACACGTCTTGGCCCTTTTGCACAGCTTCTTCTAGGCAAGATGCAAAAAAAAAAAATTTTTTTTTTTTGAAAATGGGTAAAACAGTCCCTGAAGGAATTTGCCTTACTAGGCAGAGATTCCCCCCCCCTTAACTTATATGAATCTTGATAATTTTACAGAATGTGAGCAGGTGGGGAGCATTAAACCCCAACATAGACATGACCAGGTGAACTGAAACTACTTATTTGGAAGTCACTCTGTATGGCTGGTTTCCCATTGACCTCAGGTGCCTGACTGTAGCATATGACTGCCAACTTGCCCACAGGTTGCCCTTTAAGCGGGTGCCTGGGTGGTGAAGTATTTGTTTAGCACATCCATGGCTAACGACAGGTGGAGAGAGATTCCTTTGTGGCAAGGATAAATTTAGTTTATCCTGCAAGAAAAGCTCTAATCTCAGCATCTGCAGTTTTTTAAAAAAGCTACCAGGACACAAGGGTGACATTAATTGTAACCTCAATTTCATTGAAAGGAAAGACAGCAAGAGTCAGCATACCGGACAGAAATATTGGTAGCTGTGTTAAACTCATGAACTCTAGGGTGGGATTTAGTATAGATTAAGAAGAATAGCTTGTTGCTAGCTGAAGAGCAGTTAATTACACAGTGGTGCCAAAGTCTTTGAAAACAGCAGCTGGCAGCCATAGAGAGCATTCCTAGAATGGAAAAGTGAGGGAAATCTTTCTTCTATTCTCATTGCATCTTAAAACTCCCAAGATGTCTCCTTGCCTTTAAGAAGTCATAACTGTTGGGTGGGAGATCCAGCCCCTCTACTATGTCCTGTATTGATGCTAAACAAAACCATGGCATCTCTTTTTCATCCCTCTGAGCCACTAACTACAGATTCTGGCTCTTCCCTTACAGTTGGATCCCTCCTGCGCAAGATTATTAAACAATTTCTGAGTGGTACAGACTCTCAATAGGATGATCTGTCTGAATCATCCTCCTCAGTAGGAAATATCACATTTAATTAATCTAGATAGTCCAGCACGCTTTTTGCTTCCATATAAATAGACTGGATGTCTCTGCCCCCCCCCCATCCCCAATGTCTTTAGCCCCTTCTATCCTTTTGTATATATTGCAATTGGGACTGAAGTCATAGAGAGCTGGATTCTGACTAAGTATTATATGCAAAGGATCAAAAGCTCGACAAAGCTTGAAGAGTATGGGAACCAATAATTACACTAGTTGAGATAAAGCTTCCATTACATGTTTTCTGCCTTCCTAGTCTGAGGATGTAGCTATTCCATTACCAAAGAAGAGCTCAAAATCAAAAGGCAATTGTTTTACATTTCTGCAGTTTCCTAGACACTGCTATTAATGCCTTCAGACAAAGCCGAGGGTTAGCAGCAAACAGAAGCAGAGCTAAGGGATCACTCTTCTTTTCTTCTTAAAGCTCCAGCTGAGGATGAATCACTGTGTTCCAGATTAAAGTGTAGGTTTCTTTTCTTTTAACATTTTGCCTTCAAACACCATTTTCATCTTATACAGAATAATGAAATGACTGATATATATATATTAAACATAGTGCTTTGTCATTTGAATATATAGCCCAAGAAGCCGGATGTGTCAAATAAACAATTCCAATTTCTTGCAGGCATTCACTGTGAAGATGACATCAACGAATGTCACACGCACCCTTGTCAGAATGGAGGGACCTGTGAAAATTCTCCTGGAAGTTATATCTGCCATTGTCTCGCTGGAGAGAAGGATGGAATTTTTTATGGTGGCCAGAACTGCACAGAAATCCTCTTTGGCTGTGTTCAACATACCTGTCAGAATGGGGGATTGTGTATTCCTCATTTAAGAAATGGACAACATAGATTTAACTGCATATGTTCGGCTGGCTACACAGGAGTACACTGTGAAATTACGACAACATTGTCTTTTCAGGGAAATGGGTATCTTCAGGTAAACAGCTTTGCAGCCTCCTCTGAGGACTATTTTTATAACATAAACCTTAGTTTTTTGACTGTTCAGCCAACAACTTTGATATTTTACCGAGGGGACAAAGATACCTTTGTGAAGCTGGAGTTACAAAATGGCTGTTTATACTTATCCATGCAGGTCAACAGTCAACTAAAGGCGTTTTTACATATAGCCTATAATGTCAATGATGGCGAATGGCATTCAGTAGAGGTCACCATAGCCAGAACAGTAACACTGAAGTTACACAAGAGCTCTTGCACAGAATCATGTCTTAGTCAGACTGCTGCCATAGTAGATAACAGGCAGGCAGTGATTGCTTTTCAAAACGTATTTTTGGGTGGCTTGCCAATAGGGAACAATGACTCTCTGCTAAACATCTACAGTATGCATTCTGCACCTTCATTTGTAGGCTGCCTTCAGGACGTGGAAGTAGATTTCAGCATTATTATCCCAGAGAACTTATCATCTGGCACATTTTTAAATGTCAAATCAGGCTGCGTTAAAAAAGATTGGTGTGAGTACCAACCTTGTCAAAATAAGGGGCATTGCAAAAACTTATGGCTGAACTATCAATGCGATTGCTACCGGCCGTATGCTGGGCCAAACTGCACTACAGGTAAGAAAATTATCTCAAAACTAGGATTCTTCATTATAATTCAAATTGTATTATCAGTCAGGATTTTTCAAACATTGTTCTGCAGAAGTCTAGGTCCAACTGAGGGATCCCCTGCACCAGTGGTGGGATTCAAATATGTGAACAACCAGTTCTCTGTGTGGATGCCGCTTCTGCAAGTCCATTCTGGGCCTGGGCAACAAAAAATTAGCTACCGGTTCTGCCGAAGTGGTGCGAACCGGCTGAATCCCATTACTGCCCTGCACCCAATTTCACTTGAACAGCCAATATTTCTACCAGTAGAACTTTACCTCTTGATCAGGGATTCTTGGAATTATGTTTTAAACTAACAATTTCCACAGCCTGAGAAAGCTTGCAAACCTCTCTACCCTCTGTAGAGAGACTGCAGAGTCACATGGTAATTGAAAATGCCTTAGCTAAAGGGATGGTAGCATGGCATTTCCACTATATGTGTATTAATATAACCCATGCCTGTACAGAGTGAGCTGGGATATTGCCTCTCTATTACACCTATGAATACATCTATCTTGAATTCACCAGCAATTAGCCACAGTTAATTCAGGCTACTTGTCTATGCAATATGTACATCAATGAATGAAAATGGAAAAGTACTGTTTTACTATCTTATGGAATTTTTTTTACATCTGTAACCTAATATACAAAATCAAATTTGTTGCCTAACTGAGGAAAGGCCACCAAAATTTCATATGAGACCTATATACCTCAGATTTTTTTCAAAGATATGAGATGTCCTGTATCAGATATACATGCATACTTGGTTCAAATATGTTCTTACTGAAGAAGCTTTCCTAGGAAGTCATTGTCACTTATTACTCTGTGGAGTATCTTTATTTTATTTCTTTATTAATTTTTTATAGTGCCCATCTCATTGATACAATGACTCTGGGAAGCTTACAATATAATAGAAAGTTTAAAAAAATACAAGGCAATTAAAATTTGGAGAGTTAAATAGAAAAACTAAAAACCAAGACGATGGGCAGTCTAGGGGTATAGATCTCTACCCTGTCAGACATCCGCAATGTAATAGGCCCCTGTAAGGGCTTCAGGCCAAGCAGCAGAGCCAAATTTCCAGAAGACCATGAGTGTGGGGGCAGACTCACCTCCAGGAGAAAATAGTCCAGAAAAGGCACCCAAGGCAGAAAAATCTTCTTTTGAACCTCGCCAGCCTAAATTCTTTGGCAGATGGAATCTAAAATAGGCCTTTTTTTGCTTGAACGGGTAGGGCAAGCTAGTCCCATCAAAGGGACATTCCAGAATCACAATTTTAAAAATTCTGGATGAATCAGAAGCTGTTTGCAACTCATTAAAGCAACTACATCTTCTCCAGCAACTACCCTCCACAAGTGCTATATAATCTTGAGGAACGTTGCCCTTGATTAAATTTGTTTAATTAATTAATTAATTAATTTGTTCTACAGGCCTCCTCAATCACCAGTTGCAATCCTAGACAGCAATTAATTTACTTTAATTAACGAAGTACAGTAAAGCAAGAAGTCAAAAGAAAAACCAAAATTGTATAATTTACCAAAACTCATGTTGGGGAATGAAAATATGACAAAATTATATAGGCATCCCCCAAGAAGCACCCTCCCCCCAAAAAATCCCTTGCCCATTTGGAAAAATCAGATTTTCAACAGCCTACAAAAACACAGAGTTGGAACTATGTAGGGAGAATGATGTTATTGAGGGCATTTGTAGCCGCAAAAAAAGCCCATCTATGTAGCTTTGCCAGATGAAACTAATTTACCAAAATGCCTAGGAAGGCCCCAATCCTGACAGATTTTACCAGACAGTAAGAAATAATCAAAGAAGCATAGTCCCATAAGCATTCAGATCCTGAGCCATAGAGAGCTTTAAAGTGACAATCAACATCTTGAAGTGCACACAGAAGAAAACTAACAACCTGTGTAAATTGCAGAAATAATGGTGTTAGATGAATGGCCTAAGAAAAATCCATAACTACTTCTCACTCTACTGCATTTTAGATCAGCTTTAGCTTCTGAGTGGTCTTCAAGAATATTTTTATATAGAGTTGTTTGATGCATGAGTGACCATGGAAAGTGTCAATTGGTCCAGGTAAGTTAATTGGCACACAAGATGACCAGACATCACCTACAAGTATAATCAGTGCCATGCCGATATTTTACCCAGATCTAAAGATGAACTGGAAAGATCCAAGTAACCTTCCAGAACCATGCTGAGTTGCAATTTAACTCTAAAAAGAGAAAGTTGGATACAGGTCAAAAATTATCCAATGTTACCGGATCCAGAGATGGCTTTCTGAGTAGGGAATGTACCAAGGCAGGTGGGACCGTCTCTGGTTGCAATCAAGTTCAATATGTCCAAAGTACTATTTTGCTTTTAACTCCAAACTGCTGTATATCCCTAATAAATAAAATCCCTCTGCTAGAGGTACTTTAGTCTTAACTTCTTACAGGGTGGTATGTTGGTACTTCGAATGATAGGTAAAGAAACTGATAACAAGCTAATTCCCAACCAACTTTCTGTGGTCCTCAGGTTCAAAGGCAAGGATGCAAAATTAAATCAAACCAGCAACTCAGACAAGAGTTAATAAGAAAATTATAACATGCACATGTATATCTCTTTACCTGAGAATAAATCCTAATTCAATGCGTAGCAATTCATATTAAGCAGACATATATCCAGCTGTATTGACTTGAGCTTTCTTCTGAAATATGTCTGACTCGGTCTGAGCTGCCTCCAGAGTTTGAATTCAAATGTATTCATGCCAAAAAGTGAGGCTAAAATGTTCCTACCAAAAAGGTGGTGTTCCTTTCCCCCCCCCCTCCCCCTGCACCAAGCAGGAAAAGTAGGAAGATGGGACATGTTTTCAATTGAGATACCCCACTTCTAGCAGGTATGACATAATTGTGCTGAATCTAGCAATGTATCATAATTATAGGGATTCCTGTGAGCTTCTGTCTGGTAAAAGAGTTTGCTAGGTACTTTTATTTGGAAAGTGTACTCTTCAAATTGCATTCCTATATTTTAAAAACACCATATTTTCTGTGCTGTTCTTCGCGGTCCACACCTACATTTTTTTTTCCACCAGTTACTCCTATTGGAAAATGACATTGCCGGAGCCATAATTGTAGTCGACAGCTTTGATGTTTGGCAGCAATTTATCCAAAGGTTTGAAAAGCAACTTTGGAAAAGAGAACTACATCTGGTAAATACGTTTGCTTCTTTATGAAGCAAAATTAAAACCATCCGTCTTCCAAGAGGAGGTTTTGCTTCCAGTAGAGCTGTTGTGAATGATTAGAAACTATTTGAGATGTCTTTCTGGCCACAATATTATTCTCAATTTGCAGCATCCAACATTTTAAGAATGCACATACACCCACAGAGGGAAAGGAAATTAAGAAATAATCTCATTCTTTTATTCACTCAAATCAATATTAATAGGACACTTTCCTAATCATCTTGGAATCTGATTCTAAAAGAATACTGTTTTTAGAAAAAGATAGGAAAAATGTTGTGAACCTTGAACGTATGTTTAACATCCCTAGATATCTGAAACTTTGTTTCATAATTTTACTTTGTATTTTTCACCAAAGGTGCTTTCTCAAGAGGCAACTGGATTTTCTTGGTTTTCTTTGAAGATGTTTTGCTTCTCATTCAAGAAGCTTCTTCAGCTCTGATTGGATGGTGGGGGATGGAAGGATTTATATTCCTTGCAGACAACTGGTCGTTTATATTATTTTAGAGAGTCATTGAGGCCACTTGGAGATTTATCTGGGTCCTCAAGGTCACCTGAGTGGTGCGAATGGGTGTAGAGCCTTCTTGGAACTTCCAAAAGGATTGTGTTGTAGATTGGAGATGATGTCATATCCCTCCCCTTCTATTGAGAGAGAGAGCTGTTCAATTTTGACATAGATGACCCCTCTGACCCCTCTTCCAAACCAGCGGTCCTCTCTGTCCAAAATGTAGACTTTGCTATCTTCAAAAGAATGACATTTGTCTTTTTAAATGCAGATGGACTGCTGAATCTTGTCCTGATGGGGACAAGGTTCAGGACAAGATTAAAAACAGTCCTTTCAGATAAACCTCCAAATGGTCTCAACGACTCTCTAAAAGAATACAAGTGACCAACTGTCTGCAAGGAATATAAATCCTTCCATTCCCCACCATCCAGTCAGAGCTGAAGAAGCTTCTTGGATGAGAAGCAAAATGTCTTCAAAGAAAAACAAGAAAGTCCAACTGCCTCTTGAAAAAGCACTTCTGGGACAACCATGACCCTTTTAACTGAGAATCTCCATAGACATTCATTTTTTTTTCGCTTCATAATACATCACAATGATAAAATGGGGCAAAATGAAGAATAAAAATTATTTAAAAATTTAGAATAATGTGTGTGAATAATTTGTGAAACACAGCTACAGTGATGGAAAGAGATAAGTCAAGATTTGTTTACAATATTAAAGTATTTGGTTTTTACTTTAATAATTGTAAGGCTCAAACTGCATGGGACACAAAAGCACCATAATCATAATATTGCATTTCTTAATTTAGTTTTTCCTTATATAGAGAGAAAATACTGGGTATCAGTATTGGGAGACCTCACTTAAACTAGAATTTTTGATAGGGAGCCTCCCAGAGCTGGCTGGAAGATGGGTGGCTATATAAATGTTTTAAATAAATAGAATAAATGCAGCTTTCAACAGTAATAATGCACTGCAGTTGGAGCTGCCAGTTCACTTTTTATAAATAGGACAAAATGCTTGAAAGGGAGATTTGCTCACAGATTTCCAACTTTTCTAAACTACTGGATTTCAAACATTTATATTAGGAGCCAAGGACTAATCCTAAGCAGACAGGCAGAATTCCTGGAGGAAAAAAACACGTGTTCCTTTACTGTGATTATCTTTCCTTTGGAAGGCCAGTTTTAAGTGGCACCAAGAGAGGGGGATAATTGAAGTCAGGATGATTCTGGTGTAACC